GCACAAGGGCAGGCGCCGACCTCCAACAAAAAAAGTAATTTTATTCGAATACAAGAGTTTTTTCTTTTTGAAATCCGAATAGAAAGGGTACAGGTTGTATTCGAATACAACGTGTGCGTTTTCTATTCGAGGAACTCTGCTATTCGATAAAAGTGGACCCGCACCATTTCAATTTCGAAAAAGGACTGCGGCCTCCTCGGCCTCCCTATGTGCAGCTACCGGTCCTACGCGGTCCTGGACCAAAACCCGTGTGGTCCCACGGGCAGCTGCAGGTCCTGCAGTTTCAAATAAGATGCCACCACCCCCTAAACTGCCATGCCTTGTTTTTCCAGCCTTCCAACGACCGTATAACGAATATAAGGAAAGAAGGCGAAAAATGTTCTCAGGGGCATAAAACGCACCCCTGAACGAGGATGAAAAATGTTCTGGGGGGAAACCGCAACCCTGACGGGCTGCGAACAGACATCTGTGGCAAGTGTCTTTTCCACCCTGTGCCCAAGCTTGCCCACTTTCGGACTTTTCGGCCCCCGCCCAGGCCCGCCCCCACCTTGCGCCCTTTCCATTTTGAAATTCGCAACTCAAGGACAGCTCAAGGACCGCCCAGTTTCGATTTTTCAACCAAAACCCGTGCGGTCCCACGGGCAGGTACTGGTCCTGCAGTTTCAATTTCAAATAAGATGCCAGCACCCCCTAAACCGCCATGCCTTGTTTTTCCAGCCTTGGAACTACCGTATAACGACGACGACGAAAAATGTTCTCAGGGGTATAAAACGCAAAACGCAGCCCTGACGGGCTGCGAACAACCGGCTAACCTACCGACAGGCTACGCTACCGACCTAGCGCTACGCTATCGACCCTCTCTCTCTCTCTCTCTCTCTCTCTCTCTCTCTCTCTCTCTCTCTCTCTCTCTCCCTCCCTCTCCTTCTCTCTCTCTCTCCCCCTCCCTCCCTCTCTCTCTCTCCCTCCCTCCCTCTCTCTCTCTCCCTCCCTCTCTCTCTCTCTCTGCCTCCCTCTCTCTCTCTCTGTGTCCTTGTCTGTCGCTGCTGCGTTTTCGGGGCGGACTGGACTCGACTACGTTATGGCCGACTCAGGTTAGTACTCTTACTCCCTACTCCCCACTCCCTATTCCCTACTCCCGTGTGTGTGTGTGTGTGTGTGTGTGTGTATG